GACACTGAGGACAGCATGAAAGCCAATTTTGTAATTTTGGAAGTAAAAACATCACAGCTCCAAAACACTGGTGGAAAAATCCACCCCATCTAAAGCACTCATATATCACAAAGAACAACCAAAAACCCCAACCTCAGCCCCTAAATCCCTCATATAACACATAGAACAATACAGAAGAGCTTCATATTCAGCAAGAGAGACGAGTGGTGTGTCTGCAAGTCCTGCTGGGGACAGAACTGCAGGAAATTTGCCTTGGCAGCCAACGCAGTGAGTCATGGACTCATGGAATGATTTCATTTGGAAAAGAAGACAAAAATAACAAAACAATGCCTTCACTTGCAGCTAGGTCTGTTCAACAGCATATGGATTTGTTGAGCTAAAATAAACATGTTTTTCCCTTGTTTGGAAGCAGAACAAAAAGGGAAAGCAATCAGTAACCTCAGTCTAAAGCAGTCACAAAGTTTGAGACTGTTTCACTAATCACCAAAAATGCAAGGCGTGCCTTAAAATTAAATTAAAATTTAATAATTAAAAAGCACTACAAGGTAACTTTTTTGGGGATTATTTTTAACTTTCTAGTTTTAAAGTCGTTAAAGGCCAAACTTCTAAGCTTTCATTTTGTTTTATTTTAAAAGAGCAACACTTTGAAGAAGAGTCTGCCAAACAGCCATAGCGAAGCGGATTCAAGATAAAGTCTTCTCCTAGCTTGGATAGATGAACAATCAGTATTGGTCCTGATTTTACAAACACAAAAGGAAGAAGAAATACAGAAAACAAGAGATGCGGCTGGCCATTCCATCTCCTGGCAGCTTGGGGTAGAAGACAATAATTGTTTCCCCATCACAACCAGCTGTAAATTTGCCACTCCAGAGCAGTTTTCCCACAAACCTGGTTGGTGTCTCAGCTGTTGCTCTTCCTGATGCAGTTACAAACTACTGCAAATGGACTAGACAAGCACAGAAAACAAAGGGAGGGAAAAGTATCAGGTTTTGAGTTTGGCAGTTAAGAGAACTCACAAGGACTTCAAAAATCTCAGGTTCAATTCCCTGCCCCGGGTAATATTTATTCATAAGAAATAAATCGGCTTCATTGGGAAGTCTGAAAGACTCTTTGCCTGACATGGAAGGAGTTCTGAGAGTCACTCACAGTCCAAGCAAGTATTTCCCTCTTTGTCTCCTTTTTCTCTCCCTCTTTCTCATCTTCTTTCCATGGGGAAGCATGAACTGCTCCATACTCTCTGCAGACCACCCCCCTGCCATGGATCAGGAGCTATCCCCAACATGCACAATCCTCCCAGCAGGAGAAAGAGGTCTGGGGCATCAGCAGAGTCCCCTGTGTGTGTACACACATGAAGTTCTCTTGGCAGGGCTGCTGCAGCTTCTGCCCCTGCCCTGTGGGACAGGGCAGGACACCCACTGTGGACGTGAGATTTGCAGTTCATTAAGGGAGGGAGTAACAGAGATCTAGAGTTGGTGAGCAGCCAAGGTCTAAGATTTCATGCAGAAATACAAGAAAAAAGTTTTTCAAATCACTATGAATCCATGAATTGGAGTGGGCTAAAATTCTTTAATGGCTTGAGTAATTGTAGCCAGTCCATGTCAGTCAGGTTTGAAAAGGCCTTTCTTATCAAACACAGAAATCAATGATAATAAATAATGGAAAACTTGGGCACTTGCACGCAGGAAATGGAACTGGGTCAAGATGGTTGATCCCCAATCTCAGGCTATAAGAGTGAAACAATAATAGAGCTCCAGAGACCTGCAGTTCACTCCCTGACAAGCTCAATTAGTCCCTTTCCTGAGACATTCCTTTTGCTTTTCTCTCTCTCATACTCTTTTTCTTTTTCTTTTT